CGCCTTACCATCGGACCACTGGGCCGGCATCCAACGGTGTTAATGTCTAACTCTGATTGATCTAAGGATTTTGCGCGACCTCACCCATTTGTCTTTGGTAGTTACTGCCTACACCAGACAGGGTTGAACTCCACTGGTCACGTCTTCTCAACTAGAACTCCGAGAATTTCCTGACGAAGCTAGTCACTAGTGAGCACTGTTACATTATATTGGGGCACAGTTTTGCAGGTTTGCGTTTTTACATATTTGAAATCATTAATCAGAGTTAGATATTAACACCGTTGGATGCCGGCCCAGTGGTCCGATGGTAAGGCGTTCGCCTACAATTCCAAAGGTCCTAGGTTCGAATCCTGCGAGGAGCAGGAGTCGTGGATGCGCACTGCTGAGGAGTCCCATACTACGACGAAACGGCCGTCCAGTGCTTCCAGGTTTCTAATGGTGGTCTAACAATGATGATTGATTAATGATTTCAAATGTGTAAAAACGCAAACCTCCAAAACTGTGCCCCAATATAAGGAGAACTCAGTTGGGGCAACCGAATGGTATTTAACGAAAGTTACAGAGTTACTCATTAGAATAGGAAAAGCCATATCGTAAATAGTTCATTTGCAAAATATCAGTCCATCCTATCGAACTGGACTGTTCCTGGTGCAAAACATCAATCCATTGTCACTATTCATGCGTTCCATACAAATTCCATTGTGTTCTAACTCTTTCTTTCTTGATCTTCCCCTATCTGCTGCTGCCAGACATTACGTTAACACTCACGTCATATACTATTTATAAGTAGCTCACATTACATAGGTTTTCGGAAAACAGACAAGTTTCAATTGCAATCTTCATAATTCTTTAGGTAGTTTGACAACATATTTGATTGCAATGATATATGACAGGATTAATAATAATACTGTCGAAAATAACAATATTCATAATATTTAGGAGGGATCTGCAGACCTTTCGTTTATCACTAGACGGATACTAAACAATGGAATGACTTAGACGTTGGAACTAGGTTTGTTTGAAATATTTGAACTGAGTTCACATTTACGAAGTGAACGGAATTCATTGGAACTTTTTACTTTTTCTCTTGCAATATTTCGGCATTCAAACGATTGCCAGCAAATATTTTCATTTTCATGGATTAGACCTCTTAATTTATTCTTGATTACGTAAATATTGCATTTGGTAGAGGAATGTTATTGTTTTGAGGTATTGTTCATGGTCGTTTGTCAATCACATCAATACAAAATTTACCAAACACGACGCAACATTGACTACCTTTTGTTTTAAATACGTATTAGACTTTGTTCACCCATGTGTTAAATCAGATCAGTTATTTATTCGTTTGTTGATAGGCGGTTTATATGCAGAAGCTAGACATTGATTGACATTTCAGATTTCTGCTTCTGGTAGATATCCGGTTGATTCTCTTTCAGCTGTCTCCTTAAATTCCTTCAACAACTCTTGGAAAGAGCTATGTATTCGTTCTCAACGCTTCCAACTAACAAGAGTCACACATCCCTTTATGAAAAGACCAATCATTTAACACGTCCTTGCACACATTGCTATCATTTAAACATTCATAAATTGCTTGATCAGCATGAGTGGTATATTCTGACTAACACTTACGATATCGAGTTGGAATAGAAAGGTAATTTTCAAAGAATATCGACGCATTTACGTTACGTATGTTGGCCTCCTAGTCTTTCATTTACTTCAACAGTAGGCAATGGTGTATAAATTAGTTAATCATTAGATAAATATTAAAACACTTTTTAAATCTATATGCAGCCACTATGAATGCATGTACAATTATGTGCGAACACTTTTTCAATATGTACTGTCCTCATTTTCCGACAACGATATTAAAGCAGGTTTATCTTCCTTATCAACCAAAAGAGGTAGTTGAAACAGTCTTAAAGAATAATAAGCATTGTTGCATATTCAATAGAATGAGTTTTAAATCAAGTATGGTTGATAAAACGTTCCGTATTCAGAGTTTCGCTAATATTGAGTGCCCGAAAATTCGATTCTCTGATTGACTGGCAGTAATATAATGTGCTCCAATGTCGAAAATCTTATCTATCATGCCAATAATCATAATAACTTAAACAGTCAGGAGTAGAAGACAAGCACTGAAACATTTGGCGATTTAACTGTCCATCATCAAACAACCCCAAGAACTTGCAAGTTTCACACCCATGTAGTAACTGATATAATTAAACTGAACTTTATAAAATTACTAATCTCACTGATAATACAGTGAAAGTTCACTATAAATCGTACAATATTAATATTCCCTGGAGTGCCTCACTCAAACGGAGAAACTAAATTCGCATAATGATGGTGGAAACTGTAAGTGAATCAAAATCAAAGACTGCATAAGATGGAAATATCAGGAACTATTATAAAAGCATTATTTATACTTATGATCATTTGTAAGGCAATTACTTTACGATCTTTTGCATCTGTGATTCCATGAAAATGATTATTTCTGCCATCCTGTTTTTCATGACTATTGACGAATTTAAAGAACAACCCTATGAAGGGCAGCATTCAGTCGTCAGCAAAGGATTGAATGGTTCTAATGGGATCCGTAAATGCTATGCGTTGCACATCATTGGATATGAAGATATCACAGAACGACATTTCCTGGGATCAAGTAACGAAAATGGTGGGAGATTTTAACAAACTGTTTTTTGGCTGCGAAATATTCCCACATAAACTCATACATGTAGCTTAATAGATTCGTACGTTCGTACCAGCGTTTGTGACTTAATGGACACAGCTGCCTAATTTTATGTCGTATCGTTTGGTGGCAGCAAGTCTGACGCTACATTCGCTGAAGCATCACACAGAGTTTGACGTGACAATATTGTTCCTAATCACTACATACTCGAAGGGAGGAAATACCTGAGAATTTCCTCCGTCAGACCGCATTAGTTACTCTTAAGTTCAGACAACCTCACAGACCTCGGCTGTATGATTCGCGCGTAGATGTTTCAGATCACTGGCTGATTTTCGTCGCCTATCGGTAATCCAATGGATCTATAACTGAGCACAGAGTTCGGCGCATCAGACCTCTGGATCGTGAAGGACAAAAGAAACTGATAGAAAATTATATTCTGTTATTTGAAACCTATTTTGTTCACAGTGTTTTTATCGCCGTCCAGCATTTCAAAAGTCTGGTGCAAGTATACCATTTATCGAAAGGTTATAATATGAAATAAACATCAACGAAAAAATAGGTGTCAAATGAAATATAAATTCACCATAATTTGATTCATTGGGAATTCTTCATCGATTGTAGCGTAATCGAATTCTTTGCCCAGCAGATGTAGCGTATGGCGTCGAAATTGACTTTAATCGCAACAACAGTCAAAATATGTGTTAACTATCAGCCTAAATCAAGCCGTGCAAACGGAATTAAAAGGCGAAACTGGAGATCGTTATAACTTTACATATCATGGCAATTTCGTGGTATCTAATTAATAACGAGATCGTGTCAAAGTTTACAGTCGAGACTACCGTGCGTACGCAAGCCAGATCAAGTTTCTACACACGTTTGCTTCTTACCAATTAAATATAAAAGCAGAGTCATCACAGCAGTTGTTTATAATAATAAAATGTTTTATTACATAAATTGAGCACTCCCTATTGAAATGTCAGTAACGGCTTCACTGTACTTTTTATTTATTTACTTTCTGTGGTCACAAACGGTTCGTATACATACGTGTATCGACAGTTACAACAGCTGATCCAAAGCTATTGAAATCACGTCTAATACTGCCGAAACCTTGCTAACCTCATCGCAGGGAGTTGGATAGCGCTGTGTAGTAGTCACTTGACTGTTAGTAATGGTCAAAGACCACAATGACAGTGCAGTTCATTCTCCTACTTGACTCATGTCTGTCTGCAAAATTGAACGATAACCTCTAGTAAGCGTTGCTTTTTTTCTACATCTTCCAAACTATGTCTCCTTAAAAAAGTTTAAAATCGCACAAATATTTATAAAAAAAGTGGCTTGAATAGATCGATGGTAAAGTTTTCTTCGACTATGACAGACTGATTGATGTTAAGTGATTAGAAACGTGGTATCATTTTTCTTTATAAATTGCCACTCATCAACACAATTACTCAAAAGTTTACGTTCATGGTGTGACAATAGTAATGCCAAAGAGCGTCGGAATAACTAAATAATCAAAGAAAACGATGATTATTCTTCATATTTCCATGATGTTTTATGTGACGCGTACTTTCTATTATTTACTTATGAGCTTCAAAATAATAAAACAGTTCATCTTTTCAATTACCAATTGTTGTCACATGGTAATTCACAGAGTTTATGTAATTACAACTGAATTTCAGACTTCATTGTCTTCTCAGAATGTTGCATTGTTATTTGGTCCAAAGTTCTGAAATACAGTAATCACTTTTCAACCAATATATGTTGAGAATTAATTGGTGATTCAGCCTATAAATTTCGGTGATCGTATTGAATTGTGTCAGTTCAAAATTTGTAAGGCGTGATGTGAGTTTGTAAATTTTTAAAAACGTCTTATCATTGGCACCTAATTTTTTTATGATTTAACACGATATATGATTGTCTTGATTGTGCATGTACAACGAACTGAATCAGATCCTTGAATTTAGGTAGATAGATAAATAAATTGAATGATAGGTAGATACATAGTCAGGCAGAACGTTGAACAGACCGAGAGACATATAGATTTATAGAGAGATTGTCGGATATGTCAAACGGTATATATGTTTGTGTATAGATAGATAGATGGTGAACCATAATGGTGACTTTTCAGCGATTGATAACTGCTCATCACGGTGCACAATTCACTGAATTCAAACTACCCTCCTCACGTCGATGACAAACTCTTGAATGTCTTTCTTTCAAAATACACTTGAAGGTGAGGGAAAAAAGTGCATATATAGGCATTTATACTTTTATGTGATCCAACTGTTTACTTTTCATGATTACTTTTGTTCAACATATCTGTCAATTCAGTCTAGGATGGAGTTCATGGTATTATCCAATCTAAGTATTTTAACCATGATAACATGGACATTTAGTGCAATTTCAGAAACAACAGACAATAAAATATGTGACAAGACAAATTCGTGCATGTAAGTAATTGACATTGATAAGAATTCACCATTTCACTTGGCAGATTCAACTCAACTGATTGGAGTAAGCCACAAGAAATATCTGGTCTCGTTCTAATGTAAGTTATGAAACCTGCTAACTTGAATGAATTTATTTCGTACATAATTAATGTTGAGCGTTTGCACAAATGACCGATCAATAGATATTATCTGTTCATCACACAATCTTACAACTAAATCACATTTTTGGCACCTCAGTGTAAACGGTTGGCATTTTATAAGTGACTGATATCCGATCATCATGACAATCATTTGCCAAATATTCATGTAGTCGAATTCCTCCATTACCGTTCGAATAAATCCACATCAAAATGTAGCTAATCAGAGATGCTGAACGTTTGTTACACATATATTAGAGAGAACTAGTAATGGCTCGTACAAACACTGAAGTTCAATTTGTCCTCTATTTTATTTTTACATTCCAGAGGTATGGCTCTAATGTTGGCACTCATCATTATACTCATCAAAGGATTGCACACTGCATCAAAAAGGAATACCATTTTCATAATTATAACCGTTAGTCAAACATGCTTTCAAATAATGGTTTTAGATTTTTTACATATTACAATTTGGTTTTCAGAAATTACATTCCTATCGAATATTCATCGTGATCTCCTCTAAAATACGATAATATCAATATTTGCGTATGTGAGAATGTCAGATTAATCAGAGCTTATTCAAAATTTTGGATAGCTGTGAGACTGATAAACGAAAATTCACGATAACAGTCGAAGAGTGGAGATTGAGTGCATGAAAAGAAAAATAAAACCTTCTTAGAATCAATCCTCGCAGTGCAGTTTCGATAAGGTCAACGCGCAGAAGAACTGAAGTAAATTAATTTCACTCTTTTTATTTGTTTTTGGTCACGTTTGCTTAGTTGATCTTCGAAATTCTGTTTCCTTGATGTGTAGGTTATCATTTGGTGCTCTTAGTGAAAGTTATGTCCAGCTGATAAAGCGGCTTTATGATCTCGTTCATTTTCGAATTTCCATGTGTATTATTCGTGACATAACTATGGCTCAGTGAACAGACAGATATGTTGGGTACATATCTCTCATAATCAATAATAGCGTACACCTGGATGAGTAATACGTAAGCCAAATCTCGATGCATAAATAGTCAACTCACAGGCATTTCGATTGACATTCCTTAGAAATGTTTTTTGTTGCTTACGACTTCGATATTGAATTTACCAAATACCTTCTGGAAGTAAAACTGAGAACAATCCTGGACCAATTTTTCTTCGATTATCCCCTAACCATAAACTAACGACTTTCTTGTTCTTTTTTCAGTTGATTATGATGATTATCGGTGTTGGGTTGGTGACTTTATGTGTTACTTGGTATGAAAAGGTCATTGCGGCAATTGTTTCATTCTCGATAATGCTCTTTGCTGTTGAATTGTGTCTCAGCATAAAACGTTCTGCAGGGAGATGGACGACACTAGTATTTTTAGTTTGCAGTGCATTGGTGACAGTTGGAATGGTCTGCAGTATTTTAAGTATTAATTGGTGTCAAGTAAGTTGTTCTGAAGTATCACATTCAGCGAGTCAAAAGTGAAAGCTGATTTGATGTTGTAGAATAACTATGAATGTCACCTTGAAACTAACCGTTAGAAAATATACATAACAAATAAAATGAATATATACTTCATTTATTGGTATTGGTACTCAAAATAAGTTCATATTAAATCACTTATATACAGTTGACCGTGCGGAAGCTCCACGCGAACCATTTTGAGGTTTTCGGTGTACCCAAAAGTTATGTAGATTCATGATATACAAACTTCATGACAAAAGCGACCATTTTTTGTATTGAACGAAGACAGGCGATGATGTTTATTCCGCCCTGGCGCTGTCGTCATTTCTTCAGTTCATTCAAGTACACACATACCAGTCAGCATATACGCGAATAAATAATGCTTTATGAATGTGAAGCGAATACACACAAAATGATTTGTAATCAAATATTCTCTTCCTTTATGATCTAGCTTCCATATGCAGTTCTGTCAGCCATTTGTTGGTGGGAGGCAATGTTTTTTGTAAGTTAGTGATGAACATGTGAGTTTCAATAAACATGTTTGTATATATGTATAAGTTAAAATGTATGTTACTCTCTCTGTATATCGTGAATTGTAAAATATCACACACCGTACTGAAACCATAAATTTGAAACATGTACAAT